CCCGAACTCGAACCCGACTCACCGAACCCGAACGTTCGGGTTCGCTACATACCTAGGTGTGGGTGTGGGCGTAGATAATTACGAGACACCAACCCTCACCCATGCCCACACCACACCCACACCCACACCCACACCCACACCGAACACCCACACCCACACCCACACCCACACCCACACCGACCCATACCCACACACCCACACCCACACCCACACCCACATCCACGCACCCACACCCACATTCACACCCACATCCACGCACCCACACCCACATTCACACCCACACCCACACCCTAGTTGAGATTACCAGATTGGTTTGTATTTTAGAAACTGATAGGTCATATGAGACTGATTTACCCTCATCCTTGAGCGAAAACTTTCCAGATTCATACAATCGCTCTGTATATAATTTTATGCTTTACTTTGTAAGTACAAAAAGAACTATTAATAGTTAGACTACTTGCATTTTTGCTCTGTAATGTTGTCAAAAAGAAGTTTCGCTTCTGTTTTTATTTTTTCCTTGTTAAGAACAATTCAGCCACGCTCAAGGACTTTTAATACTAGGTTTGTCTCTAACTTCACAATGGGTATGATCCATCAGTTACTTGGTGATAGCAATTGCAGTTTGGCCATGATAGGCAAGTGATCGCTACCATGTTGCGCATTTGGTAGAGTAAAATTGCGCAGATGTTGCTGGCCGGTAAAATATGGAAACAAACAGAGACATCAGGTTCAAAATGGACAAAATTGCTTGACGGTCATCGTTGACTTCATACTCATCTAATGTTATTAATTGCATGACAGAAGAAGGCATCAATATAATATCATATCTATCATATTCGCCAGGCCTGATACTATGTAACTTTTCGCTAACTAATTCTATTAAATGTAGTTTAACTGATTAAATAAATGAAACATGATAAGCCCATGCGATATCTAAAAATTTTTTCGAAAACAACTTTTAACTAATTGTTGGAAAGGATCGAACTTGGTATAAATAATCATGGCAACTGTCCTCAAAATTTGATAAAATAAAATTAAAGATGCCTACTTATCTTTATATATTTATATAATGTTGCCAGAACTTTTGGACAGATCTAAGTATGATCGAATTACATGATTTATCTCCTGATGAATCACTTGATAGGACAGCTTCGTCAAATACTGATCGTTCATCTACAATTATTTCTTCATCTCTCAATCATTGCTCATCGAGTAATATTAAATGTAATTCGTCAAATATAAAAATGTTTTTAAAAGAACAACTAGAAAAATGCGTGCTTGTCGACAACCACAAAGTGAATCATTCAAAACCATCTCATATAGACTTAAGTTTTGTTTTGTAAAAAATGATTATTCATAAAAGGAATGCATCATTAAAAATAAAGTATTTGGTAAATAAAAAATTTCTTCGGGTTACACGGGGACGGGTCGGAGCCCGTCACAAAAATGGCGAGTCGGGCGGGCCGGTCCAAGAAGCTGCCTGTGCGGGGTACGGGCGGAGCGGGTATAGATTTGCCGGGGCACAGGCGGGGCAGGGATTCTCATAAAGAATATCCACGGGGTTCGGACGGGACGGGTTTGTGAATTTTACGGGGCGGGCCCCGCGGGGCACGAAAATTCAATGCCCCGCACATCTCTGGTGGATACAACGATAAAATATTCACCCACACCCACGCACACCGACACATCCACACCCACACACCCACACCCACACCCACACACTCACACACCCACACCCAAGCACACCGACACATCCACACCCAAGCACACCGACACATCCACACCCACATACCCATACCCACACCCACATCCCACCTACACCCACATCCACATCCTCGGACCCAGACTCGGACCCGATCATTTAAAATTTTTCTACCCGGACCCGTTTACAGTTTGCTGGACCCGGACCCGGTCGCTTAAATTTTTTGGATCCAAACACAATGACAAGTGAGTTTAGATAGTATAGTCAAGAAGGGTTTTGTTGTTTTTTATCTATTTTCTAAATATATTTGATTTCTTCTTTGTATAAAACGAACAAAACTTCTAAAAAATTCAAAATAAATTGTATGGATCAAAGTTTCCTTCCGACCTGGATCCGACGCGGACCCGATCAAAGCAAAATTTTCAGACCCGGACCCGGGCGGGTCCGAGTCCGGGTCCTACGCGACAGGGTCTACACACCACCCACACCCCACATCCACACCCGCACCCACACTCTGAAATATCCTTACGTAATCTTCAATAGTTCCTACTCGTCCTGCTAATTCATTCCTTTATCACCAGGAACCTTCGTCGCAATATTATCTAGTGCTCGTATCGTAGAAAGTCATTCGAAAGTACTAAAGAATTTAATTTAAGGTCTATATCGATCACTCATGTATGTTTCAAAACTCTACCTTGAATGTATTTTCAGTTTTGCACAGGATTGATCTACTCAAAGTGACTATGACGCCCCAGAACGAAATTCCAATTTATGACCTCGAGGTAGCCGTTAGTTATTAGTTAGTTCATACACTAACTTATAATTTAGTAGTTAGTACTAACTACTAACTTAGCAAGTTAAGTTTGTCTCAGTAACTTAACGTACGCTAACTTAAATGGGACATTCCTACACCAGACTTTGAAATCATATCATCAGATATTGCTAATTGGATTCATGGAATATGATCAATATACTAGCTGATTTAGATCTGATAGAGAATCTCGAATAGGAGAAAGAGAAATTCAGCGAAACGGCTTTATTTGTTAACCTATATCTCTTTTTTTCTCTTCTTAATATAGGAATTTCAAAATTGTCTATTCTCGTTTTAGTTATTTTAGGACATCTCGAATCCTAAGTGATCGATTTATTTAGTTTTAAAAAAAACTTTATGGAAAGGGAAAATAGTCTAACCAGATGAGCATGCAGGACTTACGATGCTTCTCTTTCCAACGAATATTTCACATGAGTGGTCATTTCACCATCATGCGATGAGTGCCTCAGAAAATTGAGTATATCAAAAGTGTTTTTCAATCTAGTTAAGGATGTTCCCAAAAACATGAGTCAATGAACAGCTTGGCGTAACATAACTAGTTGATAAGCGTTTCACGGTAATCTTTGTATTTGAATTCATTTACATTTTGACATTTACTTTTAAGAAAAAAATTGTCTAATTAAGTGATTCATTGACAGAGAACCAATTCTTTTCCTTGAATCTATCAGAAAATTAAAATACTTATTTTCATCCGAATGTTTAGTGAGCTTTTGAGTAAAACGGCAGTTGCAACTTTGGGTTCTTATATTGGTAGACAAACATTGATTCTGTTCGAGTTGTGCAAGTTCTTTCTTCATATCTCGTTTATGGTTTCTGTTTATTATGATGATTACGCAATTAAAGACAACACAAACCAACATAGAAAGATAATTCGAAAAGTTAGTTATGTTTCGGCGGTTCCCAACGTGATTCGCCTGTATTTTGGTTGAAATAGTAGAATTGTTCGTTGCTTCGACTCCATTCTTTAGACCAACCTTCTGGCAAAGTGATGCCTGAATCCGGTTCGACAGGTTTCTGTATTGGGTGACGTGGAATAAATATCAATTCAAATGCTTTTTCCTTGATATCATCTGTTTCAAAGGGATCCGTCTATGAAAGTAAAAGAATCGCAAGACCTAAGTGTGGATGAACAGAACGATCATCTTTACTAAAAATGTTCTGCAGAGAATTATATGAGATAAGGCAATGAAATATCAAAAGACAGGATGTTTATAGCCCCTAGTGAACTCATAAAGTAATCTGTACCAGAAAAATCATTCAGATTGCTATACATTAGTTTTTGTCTGATAGTGAAAATTATAGTATGCTATTTCCTATTTGATCAAAACGTCTGACAACTGGCTTTTGGAACTTGAACGCTGTAGATACAGAAAGAGAACTCGATTTTGAAGACTACTGTCGCTCATATAATGGTTTAGATCACTGACCTTCTGATAATTTGTATGACTTTTATGCCACAAACGTTTATCTAATGCTTGAACTTCTCTTCGAAGCAGACGCTGTGCAGTGTCGGCCAGGTATTTTTGAAATGTTGGAGACTGTGAACTGAACAAACACTGTTTCGTATCGACCATAGTGTGTTCATATTCTGCAGGTCGTGGATCAAGTAAACATTTCAGTGGCACCACTTCCAAAATGTCTTGTACTTCCTTCATAGCTAACAAAGTCTGAAGATGTCTTATTAACGCTGGATGAACAGGATATTTGAGTCCTTTACAGAGAAGAAATCGATCAGCACTAGCTGGATCGGTAGTGAAAGGACGAACAATAGCGATGGATTGAAATGAACAGTACAGTATGTATATGAGACCAGCTGTATATCGGGTGAATGTATCCAAAAGTTTGCAGACAAAGTGACCACCATCCACAACCATGGTCAATGCATGATGACATGCCATGAGAAATTGTTGTTTGGTTGATCGTTCAAGGTAACGATTGTTTGACGCACGATCAAATGCTGAGAGAGAAGCGTCCGAGAAGTACAAATGAACTTTATGGTAATCTAAATCGATTTGAGATTTGTAAATTATGTTTGCAGTAGGCGGAAATGGACACGGATAAGGTGAGATGACGAGACCATCAATGTGTCCTCGTTGTTGCCAAGAAAGATATTCAGCAAAGCCGGCCAACGAGTTGTTTGCAACAATAAACGAAAGAGGAGACGAATTCTTGAAGTTCAGCGATGTCTGAAAAACCAGTATGAATAAGCAAAACATCAATCTACCGACTCTTCGAAAACTTTTACTGGGTTTTGTTCAGGACATCTCTCAAACTTTCAAAGCGCACATATTCCAATAACAGATTGACTTGCTAGAGAATCAATTTTCCTATTCGTCGCAATCGATTATGGATTCTCTCTTAGATACAGATTCAACGTATTCATGATGGTGAATCCAAAAAAACTACTTAAATAGCATCTAAAATCATTCCGAAAGGCCCTAATCACAAAAGAAATAACTGCGAAGCGGTCTAAAATATGGTTGTTTTATGAACAGTGATTGATTTTCGAAAAATATTACATTTTATTGAAATCGTACAAGGTTCGTGGTAACTAATGAGATAAATGAAGATTTAAATCACATTTGATTGGTTCTCCGAAAAATTCATTTACATCGAATTACATGTTTTGACTTGTTTTGAAGTTCACTTCCAGGAATCGTTCTTATCTGTCAAACATTCAGCTCTACAAATCAGGCTCTCAAGGAACGAATTGTGTCTTCAAACTAGTCTTTCTTAGTTTGCATGAAAATGTTCACCACTTGGTAGAACAACTCAGAGTCATCTGCACCTAGGATTAGCGTTCTTATATATTATCACAGAGAACTGATTGATGTGTATCCACTTACCAACTTAAATGTATGGTTAAGAGAAGCTAATTGTACTGCCACGGAGTGGTTTTGAAAGATGGGATAATGCTCTGCATCGTCTTGTTTGCTCAATAGTTGAAGTTGGTCGCTTAGAAAAATGTTTCCCGTCGATCCACTTTTCTTGCCAGCGTACTCTTCTCGTTTCTTGTACAATAATTCAAGATCGTCGAATTTGACGAAAAGTGATGAAAGAACCGAACGGAGATTTGAACTGCTAGTAATTGGTTGACGATCGAGTAGTAAAACAAGATTAGCCAGAGCAGACGGATGAGCTGAAATAGGTTTATCGGATTCCAAGAATAATGGTTCGTCAGGAACTGAAGGTGGAGCAGAAAAAGAAGATGATTGCATTGATAATCTATCTTGATGACCGAAACCAAGATGAGTTTGTGCCATGGCAGCCTCTATAGGAGTCGTTCGGCCTTGTCCATCTCTACCGAGACCTTGACCTTCAACAAAACCACTTTTCTCCAATATTTTCTTAGCCCATGAGGTAGCAGCAGATTCTGGGCGTTGTTGGATGTCCGATAATTCAACTTCCATCTCGTTTGTATCATTCATCGAAGCTCTTAGTGATTCTTTTCTTCCCACAATGATACTGCTTCCATGTCCTAAATTGCGTTTTTTCTTTGGACCTTCTTCATCATCTTCATTTTTGTTGTCACCATCACCAGTATCACTAGTCGTTAAAAACTCTTCTCGCTTACGTTTCCTATCTTGCCGATCTTCGAGTGTACCACCTGCTCGCGCACGCAATCCACCTTTCGCTTGCGATGCACTATTACCTAATGCTTTGGCCGATCCGTCAAGTATAGGATCTGCTACAATACGTTGGATTTTTGGATTTTTATCAATCAAACATTCTCGTCGAAAGTCACGCGCAATATCTTGATTTAACTGCCATACAGCTTGCTGGACATTTCTATTCCACTTTTGTTCTAGGTCAAGGTTCCTTTCAAGTGCCTGTATTTGTTTATTGGTAAAATAATCAGCGATTTCAATCACAGCTTTCAGAAACGATGGAGGAATTGACTCACGTGATAAGAGTGATTTACCATGAGGAAATGTTGGTGACACAAGTGAAAGAAGAGAGTTAAGTACTTCAGGAGCAATACCACGAAATCCAATGGCAACAATGTACGTTTCAGCATTCGGAGCACGTGATGAAGCTGGTTTAAAGATGCTCAACTCTTTGAAGTGAAGGGCAAGGATATAAAGTAGACAAATAGTTTCACATTCGAATAAATTGAACATCTTCAGAACGAGTGAACCACCCTTTGCTAGCGCACCCATAGCACATACAGCTTCTGCATAATGAAGTTCGCTAACAATTGATTCTTGCTCGTTCGGATCGCTCGACGCATCAACAGAGCCATCACCTGTCACCAGATGTACTCCAGATAATTTCGGACCAAACTATGCAAAATAAAATCAAACAATTCAGAGTCATATGCACTCATTGATCTAATTTGGCTCTCGCATATAAATAGCCTCCAAATATTGACGTCGTCCGAAAAAGATAGTATTTCTAATATGTCTAAGTCAAAATATATATTTGGAATGATTCAAAAGAAGAAACAGCTTGTCTCAAAAAATATTGAAAGATGATATCCAAAAAATAATCTTAACGAAACGTGTCAGCTTTATCCACCCAAACTAGTATATCTTTTAGTATGCTCGCAAAAAATATCCTTTCTTTGGATTCTTTACTGACCACTTGCATGGAGTTTCAGATCTTATGTTCTACAAAAGCTGTCTACGATGGGATGACGTAAAAATCTCAAACAAAACTAGGAATGGCTACTATTCGAGCTTCGATTATGCCATGATTTTAATTGAAAAGGAGAAAGTGAATTTCAAGTAGCAATTTTCTTGACATTGGGAAAGAGATGATAACAGCCTTTCAAGCGAGGCAAAAAAAGAGTTCGTCAAATATAGCTTAAGAAAATGTTCCTTTCTCTTGGACTTTACTCGTTTGCTCTGCCCTTCTCTATTGTATATTCTCATTAGCTTTTGGCGATAGGCAGTGTGCAGCTCTGTTTTGATGCTCGAGAAGTAGATACTCTCTTTTGCTTTTTCCTATGATGATGCAAAATAATTCGTACTACATCGATCGGATAAATGGCTGGCTACAGTAAATTTTCTCCTGCAAAATTTTGATTCTGACTGTTAAGAGCTTTTTAGACACATTTTTGGTGTTGTCTACTCGATTGAGTATAGCAATCATTTGATGGATACTTCCAATCTAATTTTCTTGCAACTACGTGACGAAAGTCTTTCTCAACCCAAACTTGAGTGATCAGTTATTTCACTTTCTTGAAAAAGAAGCTTTAGTTATACTAATTACTTCTAATCGAGAAATTCGACAGCTAAGTGCTGAATTCTAAAACATCCTCATTCAGTGAGAATGAAATCTAGGCAGACGAAGTCTAATCTATCTTCTCGATTTTAGTGCAGAAATTCGAATATATCAAATAGCTAACCCGAATTTTGTTCCACAGGCCTTTAATGTTGTTCTTATCCAAGATGTTACCACTATTGTCTACGCCAAAATACCACCGATCCAAGGTTTCAATGATGAAACGATCATCATCAACCATCGCTTCTTGATCGTTGCCTTCGTAGTAGGGATTCAGTGACAGACCTGTCCAGTCCCATTTTGGTGGCGGAGCAGAAGCGTTCTTTGTCTTGTAGTATCGTTGTTGAAAATAGTAGTTTGTTGCACAAATAAAGGCGCCAGGCGCCTCACATACGTGTAGACTTCGAAATGGCTCATTTTCTGAAAGATCTACATGTGCGAATAGATAACATACGGTGAACAACTTAATCTTCAGTGTATGTTATGAAAAATCTGTCATGTTTTCATGATGCATCTAAAACATCTGAGGATCTGATGCGATATTAGAAAAGGCTTTATCAAGAATACTTTGTATCTGCAATAAAACAATGTAGCCTCTCTATGCTCTGACTTTTCTGGTACATAGTTATTTCTTCAGTCAAGACCTACAGGAGAGGTTCATTCATATTTCTTGCATTTGCCCTTTTTCCCAAAAAAATCAAAAGCGCCTGTTTTTCGCAACATTATGAACCATCATCATTTTCTTGACTTATTTTTTTGCTACTGTCTTTGTCTTTAATGCATCAGAGATTGGCTGTCCAAAATTGATTGTTCTCATTGATGTACAACTTATTCAAGAAAATAACCATTGCTATGGTTGTCCAGACAAATTTCAGTCGTAACTTAAAAAATGTTTTGTTCCCCGATTCCAATGTTGTATCTATTTTATAATCGATATCATATTTTTTGTGTTTTCGCGTTTCGAAATGCAGCATAGCTGATGAAATAAGAAGAGTTCAACCTTAAAAAGAAATAATTTGTACTGTTCTATACTGGGCACCAGTAAAGATTGAACCAATCATCTGAGAATTCTTCTCATTATAGAACGAGCACGATCTAATAATTGTATTTCTATGAAGTTTAAAAACTGAAGACTCGATATCACAGAATTAGATCATTGGTTCTCATTTATAATCAATGCGAACGTATGAATTCAGATCACAAAATAATTACTGATTGTCGACAAAAAAGTATCGATGCTATGACTTGCCGACAAAGAATATGCAATTGATATTCTATAAGCTGCTGAAAGGCAAGTAATTCTATGAAAATCATGTGTTTTGGAGTGAACCAGAAAATGCCAGGTCTTTTAAGATCATCCTCTTTTGATCATTTTTGAAAAAAAAACGATCCCAATTTGATGCAAAACTAACGGAGATAGGTTGACCATACTGAGAGCCTAAGCAGTTCTAGTACCTTTCGTCATATAGACAGATCATCGCGCACAAAATGTTGCAATGTTGTATAGTACAATATATTTGTGTATCCTGAACTAATCTTATCGAAAATAATGATGAAAATTGCAGAATAATAATCAGGAAACGCTATAGTTTGGATAAAAAGGTGCGTACACAACTGAAGAAGGATCGACACATTTACACAACTTATACAGTTTCTTATCAGAGAATCTCTTGCGTCGAAGTCTTTTAAACGTGCTGAAGGAACTAAAATTTTAATTCAAACCGTTGAATACTTTTCTCTTCTCTACGTAAATAAAACATAGTTTGAGACAAAATTTTATAGTATCGGTTTTTCTAAAACCAGTGCGGATTTTATAAATATATCAATCCTTTTTCAATTGTCTATTCAACGTTTTTCGAAACTTTAGTGTATCCTCATTATGTTCATTTGCTTTTCATCGTGATTTACTACAAGAATAGTTAGAGATACACAGATACATTATATTGTAAAACGTTGCAACATTTTGTTCTGCAACGAAAAGTCCTAGAGCCGTTTAGACTTCCATTATTTTCAATCTATGTGTTAGTTTTGAACCAAGTCGGAATAGTGTTTGTTTAGAATAATTATCAGGAAGAATACTCTATAAAGGTAATACTTTGCGGTTAACTCTGAAACACTTTTTATGGACACAGTTGTCTTAGGACAACATGACAAAACATGTGAGTGATATTTTTCGTTGTTCCTGCATGGACGTCTAAGACATCAATACTTAGAATTGGCGCAAAAGTCTCCACAAGATAGGCTAGGTCTCATTTCGTATAAACGGGTGATAGTCCAACATATTCTCCTGCAAGAAAATATCCATTCTCACACATAATGAAGTATGTTTTCAAATTATACAAATAAGTGAATAATTTCATTTTCAACATATATTTTAGTTTCATCTCTAACCTTTCTGAGCTCAGAAGTTCCAGTTCTTCTAATTCCACTTACCATTCGGAATGAGTCGCTCGTATTTCGAAAAGATTTCGGCCATTTTGATCCATGCATTCGTGCACATTTCAATATTGTAGTCTTTGCGTAAAGGCCAAACTACTTGTGATGTCATATTCGTCTTGCTGGTAAGTTGCTTCCATACAGTGATATCTTTTTCATTCAGACGATCACGAGTAGCATTGAGCCTTTTCTTTTGTTCCATCAATTCTTGGATTTCCCATCGATCGTTTACGAACAGATTTTCGGCCATTAATAATGAGTTGTCTTTCAGAGATGTGATCAATGGAAAAGTTTTCTTCTTTCGGAATAGCTCATCTTTCAGTTGATACACTAGTCGTTGCTCCTCATCATTCAGAGAAGAAACACGTGTTGAAACTGGGAAACGTCGATCTTGATTCCTGTTATTATTCGAGAATCGCGATTCGTTGTTGCGTTGATCTCGCCAGTGATCGTGATTTCCACCTCGACGATCATTATTCCAGCGTGAATACGACATTTTCTATGGTATATTTTCTACAAAACACAATTTCATATGAGTAAATAGGATTTATGTATAAAGTAATTAATGAATGCCTACTGGCTAAATAAGAGGAGCCAACTTTTTAAAAGAGAGAATGGTCAGAAAATTTGAAATCCGATATGTTAACCAGAAATATTTTTGATCTTAAAATTCAAAGTTTCTTTGAAGGTGTGTAAGTGATATATTTGAAAATTCTTAAATTAGCTCATCTCACACATAACTAAGTAATCTAGTTGTGTTGGTGCTAGCTACTACCTTTCGGTTCAATCGTGATATTTTTAGCTGTCCACAAGGCCAGCACTATATGAACAGTTTGATCGCAATCTCATCTGAAAATTTTTCGACAAAGAATATTAGAAGTATCTGTTCTCGGATATTAATGAATCCTATTCGAGTTGGAGACTATCCTAGCTAGCAGAAATCAAACTCAGATGAGTATAAAAATTAATAACCATTGCTTATCGATGGATAAGCAATTGTGTATTATTCTTGGTCGATAAATAATTGTGAAAGTTTTTTACTCATTGAAAGTATGATCTCCTTCACACGAAGGATTTCTCTCAACAGAACACTTACTTAGCCAACAGTGTAACGTATGCTTTATATTCAACCTGATGCACTGACATCATAATAGAAAGATGAAAAAAGGTAATACACGTACAGGAGTTTTTCTATTTGCCAGTGCAACTTGTTACTCACTACTAATAAAATGAAATTTTCTTTTTTTCTCTTTCTCTTCTGCAGCAACATCAAGCTTTGTTAACTCAGTAAATAGAGATAGACATTGCCAGCCAAGGTTGCCATCATTGCACCATGGTTGAGAAATGATGGTGTCACTCAAGAGAGAATCAAGAAATATAGAAAGAGAACAAGCATAAAACAAAGTTGCTGCAATCGTGTGAAAAAAAAACAAGCTGGAAAGATTTTTAAAAAAAGTGAAATAACAAGGAGAAAAACAAGTTATGAGCGAGAGATTTTTTCCATTACTGACGCACATACACATTTCCGTCACTTGTCTTTTGTGTTGATAATGTAATCATTCCATTTTTATTTTTCCAACTACGCAATAGAAAGAACTAAACTTATGACTGTCGGAAATTATCAGTGAAAGCTTAGAAAAGCTCGTCGATTCGGTGAAAAAAAGAAACGATGCGCCCATTGAGTCATTCATACGAGATTGTTTGTTTGCTAGGAACATAAATGAACATGTTGTTATTTTTTCTCATGAAAAGAGAGAAAAATAAAAAGATCAAAACATGATTGGTCGTCATTTTATCTTCTACTAGTTTCGTTCCTGTGCTCAGACAATAAAAGCATGTCTAGAAAAAGAGGTAATGGAAGAAGATTCAATAATAATTTTTCACGAAAGCCTAGCAATGGTGAAAGATCATCTGATGATCCTAATCTACAAGAATCGTTAAAATCTAACAGCTATAGAACATATACACCACTTGTAAGTTTCGCGCCTCCATCAGCCGAAGTCGATGACGAGTCGACTTATTATACTGTCAATCTTCAATTGAGTCCAGTTCAAATGGGTATTATGGCTAGAAATGATCATTGGCAACAACAATTCAAAGGATTAGGAGCATTTAATCACTATTTCGGTTTATTAACTACTACCGCCAATGGATATGAATTATGTGACGTATGGGACGGATACTTTCACCTCACGCTTGTGAAATTTCGGACATCTATTCCACCAGATGATCTTGAGTGCTTATTTCGTTCATTTACTTCACACGCATGTAGTCCTGCGATTCCTAATCTTCTTTTTCGAGGATCACAACTCGCTGTCCATCCCGGTACAACACGTAAAAAAGAGCGAAAAAAAATCGATTTCGTTGTTCTTTACATCGATCTCTCGCCTGAAATACAAGAATTTTATCAAGCTATCCAAGATCTACTTAACGATATTCGAAAACAAGCAAAAGCATCAAACTGGAATCTTATTCCAATCGACAAACTACATGTGACCATACGTAAATATTCTAATACTCAAATAGATATAAAAGCCATTCCGATCAAACATTTGCCAATTGAATTCCACTGTTCTCGTCTCGAAATTAAGCAAACACGCGAACAAGGACTGGCTCGATATGAAAAAGCCCGAAAAGAGGGCAACAACTATCAATGGTGGTCTGGTGTGACCGTAATCGATGGAACATGTTTAGGTTGCCGAAAATGGATTCTTTCTCAAGATTGGGCAGGCTTTTGTCTCCAATGTGGAAAGTACGAGTCAGTCAAACCGGTCTGGTCAACAGATGACATCAAAGATCATTTGGATCAAAAGCTAGAAGAACAAGGACAAAACGTAGAAACTTCAACACTCAATGAAAAATAGAGCATGTTGATCTAAACAAGCCAGAGACCGATTTGATGTAGTTGCTTCAGTACTCTCCTTACAGAAATAAAATAGAACGAAAGAAAACGTACTTTGCCTACAAAGGACAATTAATTCAGGGTATCTGAAAAGTAGGTCCCTGTTTTGGATTCTTTATTACTCTCAAACAACAAAAGATATCGTAACGATTTTTTCACCGTTTTGAAGCATATGTCATGACATTTTGTCGTAGATGAAACAAGCCGATTGATCGTTCGACTGTCTAAGATCAAGCCTGGATTTCGTCTTGAGAATATCTGGAAAAAAATCACTATTTTGGATAGTTAATTATTCTTATACGAGGACTCGAGTGTAGATGTGAGTGTGCGTATGGGCGTGAGGTGTGCGTGTGGGTGTGGATGCGGAATTTTGGTGTGTGTTTGAGGGTATGGGTGGGTGTGGGTGTGGGTGTGGGTGTGGGTGTGGGTGCGGGTGTGGGTGTGGGTGTGGGTGTGGGTAGGTGTGGGTGTGGGTAGGTGTGGGTGTGGGTGTGGATCCTTCATCCTCTCACACCCACATCCACACCCCACACCCACATCCACCCCCCACACCCACATCCACCCCCCACACTCCACACCCACACCCTGAATAAGAACGAACTTTGAACGATCAACGACAGATTGTGCAAGAGTAAGAAAGAAAAACACGCAATACACTAACTTAAGAATGAAAATAAGAAAGAAGCGACTATTTTGCAGAGTAATTAGAATTTTCTGCGCTCATTTTTTTTTCTCTTTCTACTGCAATACTGGAGTTTCTTAACTCACTAAAAAGAGACTGACACTATTAACCAAGGTTGTTGTCATTACACCATGATCGAGAAATGATGATGTCACTCAAGAGAGAATCAACAAGCACAGAAAAAGAACAGCCGTCAGACTGAGTTATTACAATCTGGCAAAAAAGAACACCGAGCGGCAACGGTAAAAAAAAATGTAATGAAAAGGAGAAAAAAAAGCAACAAGTAAGAATTCTGATTGGTCACACACATCTTGTTTGGCAGCCGTGTGTTTTTGGTGTTGCCAGTGCAACGATATAACCTTCAGTTGTTGTTTTCTAACTATCCAATAGACAACACTCGATTCAAAGTTTGTGAAAACTATGAGGAAATTCTGAAAGAAGCTCAGCTATTGATTAAAAAAAAACTGACACACTGAATCAGCCATCCTTCGTCGATTGTTTGCTTGAAAACTTGATGAAAAAAACAGTGCTCTATTCTCGTGAGAGATAAAGAAAGGTAACAAAACAAACACAGAGTTGAATTTCATTTTATCTTGTACAAAATCTAGCATTGTAGTCGTACAATGAAGACTTGCCTAGGAAAAGGTGTAATGAGAAAAGTGACAACAATAACATTCGACCAGAATCGAAGATAGTTTATTTTTGAAAATGATGAAGATGGTTAAATAAGGTTTGAGCTCGTAACAAATATGTCGTCATTTCGAGAGTAGGAAAAAGTCAAGTGAAGAGAATCGATGCGAGTCAGTCGATTAAAGTATAAAAGTGAACTTTTCTACTAAATAGACGCTTGTTCGTTTGGTCGATAGAGACCAGTGCCCGACACGGGACGCGTCGGGTCACAAAAAAACAAACTTGATCTCGGGTCAGATCGGGCCGGGTTGTGAAAAAATTTTTTGAGCTTGGATCGGGTCGGGTCAGAAAATGTTTACGAATTTCGAACTTCACATAAGAAAAGCAGCAATTTTAGATGAGATAATCATTTCTTTATTTCGAATACCTATAGAATATGTATCGATTTATTGAGAAGATTGTCAATGTCTGAAAAAGACTCACTTTGATTGGCCAAAAACTATCCCTCACCTCGGGTCGGGTCGGGTCGGGTCTGGTTACGAAAAAAAGTTTTTGAGCTTGGATCGGGTCCGGTCACAAAAAAGTGACCCGTGTCGGACACTGATAGAAACGATTCTATTATTTTACAACAGATCAAAGAAAACAATGGCGAAAGCAAATACAAACAGATCGAATGCGATGAATGATGGTGATTTGTGTGCGCGACCTGTTTATTCCTCTCATCAACTTGGATCACAAACAATAGCCAAGCATGTCTTCTCTATTTCTTCGAATAATCAGCTATCGTCTTCTGCTCGAAGCGAAAAGAATGATTATCAGCGTTCTCAATCGAAGAAAGCGGACGATTGCAATGAGAGACGACAAGAAATGTATAATTTTGCAATCAATCTGGGAATCGATCCCATTAAGTTTGACTTTGTGTATGGCAATGCTCAATGGCATCAAGAGTTTAAAGGACTTGGTGTATTCAATCGGTATTTCGTCATGTTGCCACCGAAGAAAGATGGATACACATTGCCTGATGTATAGGATGGATATTATCAGATAACACTTGTCAAGTTCAACACTCTGCTCCCCAGATCAGATCACGAGAGAGTTCAACAAATTTAGTCCATCATTGGACAATGTTCAAATACGAGAAGCTCTTTTTCGAAGTTCCACACTAGCTCTTCATTCTGGTGATCATTGATTAGGAAATAGGCGTGGTACTGATTTCATTGCTTTTGGTATCACTGGACCTCAAGAATTCCAGTTTGAAGGTCTCTTCGATGACATTCATCAGCTTATTCAGATTTCACGATGGATATAAACACCAACGGATGATCTTCATATAGATATGCGATTGTATCCGCAGTCAGTCACAACGATCAATGAATTGGCATGGACATGGGAGATAATTGAAAAGTGTGGCATTCCAGACAAAGTAGCTCGACTTTCAATCAATTTCTATTGTTCAGCACTGGAAATAGTGCTCGCGCGACAACAATATATCCAACTACATCGACAGTCGAAATCGAATCAATGATAGTCAGGTATGACAGAAATCGATGGACGATGTTCAGGTTGTCACACAGCTTTGAATAGTGATGAATAGAATGGGGTATATCTCGAATGTGGACAATATGAACAGATTACAGCGGTATGGACCATTCCACACGTATGAACATACTTACTCCATGCGACAGATCGAACGACTTTATTGTAATAAGTGATTGATTGTTGTTTGATTCGTAGGAAAATGTGTTGACTTTTATAGGGAACCCGTCACATATGTGTTGCTTTCTTTATTAGATCTAATATTCCTTTGATCGAAATTGAAGGAGAAACAGAAAATTATGATATACGTAATCTATTTTGATTAATTTTTACACAAGATTATAGATGATAGATAAGGAATATGTCAGGTATTGCACAAAGATTGTTTCAATTGTTCTGATACTAATAGCAAGAATTAGTTAACAGGTTCATTTTTCATTCTAGACATGAGTAGAGAATATAAAAAAGGACATACTAAATCACCGAAAAAAACTCAAAACAACGTCAACAATTCTTCATACACGGCATCCGTTGGTTATTCAATCGAGACCACTTCGGATTCAAAAGTAACGAGTAAGAATTATCAGTGTGCTGTCAATTTGCGCTTATCACCCGTGAAACATGGTGTAACATGTCGCAGTACTCGTTGGCACACTCACAAATTCACTGGTCTGGGTGCATTCAATTATTATTTCGCTTATCTCCTCCCTGGTGATGATGATGATGATGATGATGATGGCTTTTCTCTGCCTGATGTATGGGATGGTTATTTTCACATCACTCTAGGAAAATTCGACATAATAGCGACTAGTGATACTGATCGTCAACAAAAAGAATGCACTTTGGCAGCTTGTGTTCAAAAAGAATTTGAATCTCGACAAGATTATAGGGGTCTTTTCCCTTGTCAGTTTCGTACGAAAGGTCTAAAAGTACACGATGGCTCCCATAGATTGGCAGAGAGACGAGGTATTGATTTTGTCACATTGAAAGTGGAAGACCACACTAATGTATGGAAAAGGCTGCATCCATTACTGATTATCATCCAAAACGTGGTCATAAAAATCGGTGGTAAATGGGAAAATGCATCACTGGAACAGTATCGTGATAATTTGCATGTTACTGTACGGAAATATGCAGATAATAATCAGAAATGGTCGCGGCGACAAATAGATGGCAGTGGTATTTTAGAGCGTGTATTTCAAAAACCACTAGAATTCGAATGTGACGCGCTTGATATCGTACCCACACGACGTCAAGCATGTCTACGCCCTAATTGGTGGATTGGCGTAACAGGCATCAAATTAGCATGTCCACAGTGTCGTAAAAATTATTCGGATGAAACACCTGGCTACTGTTCTGATTGCCACTGGTCCGGAAACGATTACAAGTGTTCTGGATGTGGAAGAGAAGGTCGTCGGCGCAACTGGCCTGGATATTGTTTTGAATGTGGAGGTTACGAACGAATTCGGCCTCTCTGGACAACTCTACCAGAACCAACATAATGATCAATCTATGTATTAATAGACCAATATCAAACTATGAGATTCTCTCCTATGTCTGTCTCAACAAAAGAACTAAACACTGAGAAACGAGTATCATTGTGTGCAATAACGAGGCATGACCGATAACGCAGTATGGGTATGGTAGGTGTGGGTGAGCGTGGGTCTAGAGTGTGGGTGTGGAACTGGGTGTGTGAGCGTGGGTGTGGGTGTGAGTGTGGATATGCGGGTGTGGGTGTGAGTGTGGATATGCGGGTGTGGGTGTGGGTGTGGGTGTGGGTGTGGGTGTAGACGTGGGTGTGGGCGTGAGCGTGGGTGTAAGTGTGGGCGTGGGTGTGGGTGTGGGTGTGAGTATGCGGGTGTGGGTATGTGGTTGTAGGTGTGGATATGGGTGTTTCTGGATGTGTAAGTGTGGGTGTGAGTGTGCAGGTGTGGGGATGTAGATGCCGGGTGTGGGTATGGAGCATGGGAGTAGGACACGGGTGTGGAACATGGGAGTGGGGCATGGGAGTGGAGCATGGAAGTGGGGCATGGGAGTGGGGCATAGGTGTGGGGTGTGAGCAAGGGGAAAAAGCATTGTTCACGATTTCATGAATCCAAAAGATTCTCAAAGAT